AGAGCTCTAAAATGAGTACAGAGCTCTAAAATGATTTTACAGAGCTCCAAAATGATTTTACAGAGCTCTAAAATGATTTTGGAGCTCTTGTTAAACTGCTGAAACAGTGAAGGTCATTAGAGGAGACAAAAGTCTTTTTGAGGACAGCTACGGCACAACATGTCCATTCAGAGACAGATCAGGCTTCATGAGGACAGTTAAAACAACAACACTGTTTACTGTCCAAGCAGGACAACCAGAACGTTTTCTGACCTTTTCAGCTCCTGCATTTTGTAAATGACTGTTAAGGTTGAGTTCTGCCTGCTGGTTTCATGGAGGACCTCATCTTCTAACAGCCTGAAGGCTACCTACAGACAAGAAGGAAACATCTAAATTCAGTTCAGTTTATTCAGATAGCATCAAATCACAGCAGAAGTCTTCTCAGGGCACTGAACAGAAACATTCACATACATTTAAAGTCAGTTAATAACGTTATTCATCTCATCGCTCACGAACAAGTGTTGGATAAAGTGATGTCATGGGAACGAGTGAGGAGACTGACGGACTCAGTATGTTCCTGTGAATAAGACTTTTAAAGAAGCAGATGGTGTATAAGCTTTATAATCAACGTGCTGATTACCTGTAATTTAAAGAGTTTGGAGTAAAGATGAGGAGTTTGGGTCTTAATGAAGTTTTCTGAAACTTTGGCAAAATGTGCAGCTTCCTCCACCTGCCCCGAGTCCACCAGGCATCGGACCAGGTGTCTGCACAGAAACAGAACACAGTCCGGTCTAAAAGACCCACCTGCTACAGATCGTACCAGGGACCATGGGGTGAATAAACAGAGTTCCTTCAACAATCTTCGGTCTCACTGCCTGACTGTTGCCACAGACACACACAAACAGCTTCCTGCAGCCGTGGGCAGGTGCTACACCTGATGTGTTGGGGGTGGGACACTTGCATCATGAGCTCAGCCCTCCAGCGGTGGTCTCCGTCTGACACCTCCTCCAGACTTTGCACCACCTGTTTCAAGGAGGGCACCAGGTGGCGGCACCGGCCCGGCTGCAGGAGAGGACGCACCGTCTGGAAGTACAGCACGGAGGCGTTGAACACCATGAAGTGACTTCTGGAAAACACAAAGCCCACGAACAACAGTCAACAAAGATTCTTCGCGCCAGTCGTTTCCTCTGGGTGCGTCCGTTCAGACAGCTGTTTGTACAGAAGCCCTTTGACTTGAAGTGTGAGCCCGGAGAGCCGAGAGGAGCAGAGCCAGAAGACATTTTCTAATCCAACACCTTGTTGAAACACTGAACAGACTTCGTGTTGGTGTGAGCTGGAAGTACCGGCTCCTGCTCGGCGTGTTCATCGACAGCTCACCAACGCCGAGCTGCAGAACTGCAGACATGTTCTCTGTGCCAACACGAGAACTTTTCATCTTAGTTCTGGTTCATCAATACTAAAGGAATATTTGAGACGTCACCGGGCTGTGGCTGCTGGACACCAGGTGGACACCAGGTGGACACCAGGTGGACACCAGGTGGACACCAGGTGGTCTCCAACAGTTTCTGGCCAGCGAGTTGCGCAGCTCCATTTTCAGCAGCCGGCTGGATAAAGTCTTTGCCTACTTTTGTGTCCACGGCTCGGAAGACTGATCGTGGGCTGAACACAATGTTTCAGGAGGCCTTGTGCCCGCCTGGACAGCAGCCCAAAGGTTTAGCTAACGCCGCTTGCGTGACCCACGTGGTTATTTTGAAGACCGTTGTTGTGCGATGGATGTGGGAGCGCTCGGCCTGCACTGGTGAACTGCTAAAACTGCTTGTCTGAACCTTAAACATGCAGTAGAACACTAACGCTCGTGCTCTTACCTTCTCTTGGTGGAAACTGAATCAGCAGGACTGTTTGTAGAAGCTGCCATCTTGTATTGTTGGAACCAGCCTGCACACTAAGACTGAGGCTTTACAACCACGCAAACTAATCATGATGTCACACGACCTTTCTTTAAAGCCTGAAACGACTAATTACAGCTGAACCTGCTCGAAACACAAACATTAGAACATCAAGATAAAAACTACGGGAATGAACAAAAACCATCCATCGTCTTTACTCGCGTCTTCCTTTTGGTGTCGCGGGGGTCACTGGTGTCCATGTCCAACTATCACTGTGCGAGAGGCGCCGGCATCAAATACTTTGCATGTGTACCAAAGATTTGTATTTGTAAAAAAACAACTTACAAATCTTCTTTAGGACGTCGTGTGTACGGATCCAAATCCAAACACTACGTGTGAATCTCTTCCTGTGACTTTCATCGTACAGTACGAAGTCTGACCTGGACTCTCCTCCTCAGCTGATTGCTCATATCGTCACGTCAGTCACAAATTTAATGATCCTGCTGAGCATCACTGAAGCAGCTTTTCAAGGTTCATCAGGTCTAGTGTGGGGCTGCATCACAACGGCCAAGAAGGTTCTGATCATTCATGCCCACCAGAGCTCTGGGTCATTCAGCGCTGCAGCTAAATGCTGCTGGGGGCTCTGAGTGCTCAGGGCTGTACAGAACAAGTGTCTGTCTGTACGCCATGAATTTTAAAGCCACAGCCTCTGCTCAGGATTTCAAAGGAGAAGTGAAGGATGCTGAGACCTTCTGCTACCTGAAGGACAGCAGGATAGGAAGACTGCCAGATGACATTACTAAAGAGCAAACTAAAATCACTGAAGCAGATTTGATCATGTTTCAGTTGCCCATGTACTGGTTTGGTCTTCCTGCAGTCAAGAAGGGAGAAGCGATACAGCCAGGGAGTCTTCAAGGACAAGAAGACCATGTTGTCCTTCACCACTGGGTCTCTTGAATCCATGTTCAGCCCCACTGGCATTAATGGAGACATGAATCTACCCTGGGACATCTTGTAAAAAGATCTGAAGCTCTCGACCTTTGACCTCTCTAAGTGGCTTCAAACATCTGTTCAGTTCCTGCAGATGTTCCTGTTTTCAGTTTTCTACATCGCCTTAGAATCTAGATGGTTTTTGTTACTTTTGCTTTTAATTACCATTTTATTTTCACTTGTTAAAACAAATTAATAGTTTGTACGCATCCTTTATGATTTCTATTGTTGTCGCTGTTGTCCATTGTTGTCATCATTGTTTGCTAAAATTCAGGTCTCTCTTGTTAATGAGCCCCCGAGGCTCAGCGGGACTAAGCTGTAGAAATAAAGGTTGAATGAATGAAGGTCACTGTGGCCTCTGCAGAACGGCATCCTGAACTACTGTGGCTTCCAGGTTCTGGCCCCTCAGATCTTCTGGGCTCCAGCCTCTGCAGCTGATGAGGATGGTAAGGCCATGTTGGAGGCCTGGCGTGCACGACTGCAGGGTCTCCTGGAACAGAAGCCCATCCTTCTTCTCTCTCGACTGCTTTGATGAGAAGGCTTTCCAGCTGAAGTCTGATGTTCAGGAAGAACATGCCAGTGAGGAGTTCGGTCCGACGGTGGGCATCCACCTGAACAAGCCTCTGCCCCACAGCCAGATGAAGGATGGATGCTGATATATTTGTTAAACATCAATAAAAGTTTGTTTTGACTTAAAAATAAAAAAAATTACAACCCCATTAGAAAACGGATGGGTTCGGCTGTCCATAGACATAAATACGTAGACGCCTCGTTGAGCAGGCTGGCCCGTTGCAGCGGTATGCCGGAGTGTCCACCATATTGCGTTTTTATTTTTAATAAATGTAAAGTCCTGTTTGTTTACATGGAAGGGCCAAACTTGAAGTTTTACTGGAACCATCCTGTGGGGACGTGGCTTCAACCTCCACTTCCTGTATGGGTCTAGTATCATAAGAAATGTCTGAGTTCTGAACAAACCCAGTCCTAGAAGAACTAAATTTTTTTAGAAATTCACGTAAAAGCATTTTTATTAAACATCAAAGTTCATGCTCAATAATCCAGGTAAGAAATCCAACAAGGTTAAGTCAGGTCCTCTTGACGTTTCTTTTCCTTGAACCATTTTATTAAAGCTTTACACAAATACAGTCAACAGGCACTGACAACATCCCAGCAGGAAATAAATGGCCCCTGGCTGCTCAGGAAGTGCTACAGCTAGCTACAGCTAGCTACAGCTGCTAGCTGCTCTTGCTAGTAACCCCAGGATTCAGTGTAAATGAGGTGCTGGAGATGAGAGTTGTTAAAAGACAGCATGGGTCCATTTTGGGCCTGACCCTTCTCGGACTAGCCATTAGCTCATCAGTCCTGTTGGAATTAAACTCTAAATTAAATTTCTCCAAAGTGAGGTCACTCAAAGAGCTACCTACAACAGGTAAGACATTAACTGTGATGAGACGTTTGATGGAGCTGGATGTGGAAGACGTTTTTAATGAAGATCTATTTATAGATCAGGGGTCAGTGGCGTTCATGAAAACCTGTTTCCTGTTTGTGTTCTCGATCAAAGCTGCTTGTTTCTCTGTGCAACAAACATTCATGTCACTTTTGACAGAGACAAACCAGGCATCGTTCTTACCTCGGTTCTTTCTTTGACATTTCAATAGCTTTCAGAAAACACATCACAGCCTCGTCAAAGTCATCCTAAAATAGAAAATATAATCAAAAGAATGGGAAAATAAGAATATGTCACAACATAAAAATAATAAACAGTAAGAAGACAATTAGGTTATTTGAAGTCTTTCAAGTTGAAAAACTGAGACTTAATAAGAGACAAAGTATAAAAGAGCTAAAGCGTTTCATTTTATACGGTCGGCTCTGATGTGAGGGATCTGACGCAGACACAGTTCAGCAGAAATAGAAAACGGTGGATAGGCGGCCTCACCACACTGCCGGTGGCTGCAGGAGCCTTCAGCTGGCCCTGGCAGACAAACGCTCGACACACCAACTGATTCTCCGCTGACTTCTCCTCGAAGAACATGTTGAGGCAGGCTGCGCTGATCTCAGCACGCTCAAGCTGAAAACACGGCCAGACAATACTTCGACTCTGTGATTGTCCACAACTTTAATAAATATTAAAACATGAAAAGCCTAACAAGTTCATGTTCACGTTACCAAAAACTGAGTCATCTTTAGTGCAAACATTCATATATATATATATATATATATATATATATATACACATATGTTGCTGTGTTCACAAAGACTCATGTTCCAGCTGCTGTTCGGTGTATTGTTTTTATAATACTTGTGCTTATTGTGTTTTTATTACCGTTTTTCTAATACTTTTGTTGGATGTAACTGGGATCCTGTGTACATAATGTCGTTCCACCACATGTACCACATGAGGTGGAACGACAAAGAACCTTGACTCCTTGAACAAAAACACACACACATTTTTAAATACATTCTGTTTTGAAATAAAGATTCATTTATATTGTCATTGATTTTAGATTTCAAAGCTGAAAGTGTCAAAACAAAGACACATATATAGATCTATAGATGGATCTATAGATCTATATAAAGATCTATAGATCCATCTATAGATCTTTATATAGATCTATAGATCGATCTATAAAGATATAAATGTGTATAAGTGTAGTTTAATGACGCTTCAGAAAATCAGAAACTGTCATAATTACATAAGTTAATGTGATTTAATGTGAGGCTGAACTGGTGAACTCTGTTCTAGATTAGAGTAAAATGTAAATCACGTGTTTAACTTGGTTTAGATTTCCTCACCTGGAACACCTTGTAACAGGAAGTCAAGTTGTCCACCTTGATCTCTTTAAGGGGTTTCAAACATTTGATCATGTCAATAGAAAAATCAAAGCAGATCCAGTGTATGTTCTTGTTTTTAGTGTTTCACCCTGATTTACAACACCTTGAAGTATTGTCTTATACACTACTCATATTGTAACAGCACTTTTACTGTAGTTTATTGTTGTTGTTGTTGTCTGTACTTTATTTGTTCCGTGTGGAACAGGTCTCTCCTGGAGATGAGGCCTCGTGGCTCAGTGGCACTAGCCTGTGGAAGTGAAGCTTGAATGAACTCAAATGACCCGTGTCACAGAGTACACTATAAATGACAAATAATTTGCATCTGTACAACAGATATCTAGGTTTTGTGAGGTCACGTGGTATCCTATGATACAAACCAACACCGACTTCAAAACAGATGTTTTTTCTTCCAAAGAGACAGAATTTAAGCTGTAAAGAATTAGGGCTGGTTTAAACAGTTTTGCACAATTTTATTTTATATATAAAAATCTGCTCTTCCGGATTTTTTAAAACATTTTATTCATGTTTATGTTTTGAATTGAAAGTAAATCTGGAAACAAAGTTTATGTTTCCATGTTCAGTTTCTTTTTTAACCAGACAAAACGAACAAGCATGTTTATTAAACTGATGCCTTTTTAAATATTGAACTGATGCCTTTTTAAATATTAAACTGATGCTTTTTTAAATATTGAACTGATGCCTTTTTAAATATTGAACTGATGCCT